AGGTCGAGGAGGCTGCTCTTGCCAATCCACGGCCTGCCTCCTGACGGCCTGAAGGGCCAGCCAGGCCGAGGAGGCTGCTCTTGCCAATGCCGAAGTGTGCCAGTGGCTGGCGTTGCAGCATCTGCTGAGGCTGGCGTGGATACAGGCTAAGAATAGACTGTTCTCGAAACCCTGGTTTGGTGCCTGAGTTTCAGGGCCGGTCGTTCACCAGCCCTTCGTTTCAGGCGAAAAAGGCTCTTGCCATTTTTAGTTTGAAACGACACAGGGACTGTAGGCCCCTGTTTTCAGGCTGAATTCTAGGTTTTTTGGCTGAAGGGTGCAGGGCCTGGAAAATGGCCTGCATGTGCAGGCGCAGCATGTAACACCCCCCCGTCCTCATGAAGTCAAGCCGGGGCGAGGGTGAAGCCGACGATCTGAAGGTGGAACCTGGACGCGGGCGCAGCGTGGAACCGAAGAAACCGGCTTGCCTTGCATCTCGCGTTCATAGCATGCGAGAACGTCTGGAGCTGTTGCTTGAAGTTCCGCACGGGTTAACGAACGGTCAGCTCGGTATGTGCAGTATGCAAAGTGCACCAAATACTCAGTTGGCTTGTTGTCATAGCACCGCTGGGAGATGATGTCGCCGACCTCCTGAAAACCGTCCATAGAAGGTGGGTCTTGCGTACGTCTCCCGGGAAAATCGTCATGTTCCGCTGGCGTTTAAAGAGCCAACTTGGAGCAATGAAAGACTGGGTAGACCGGCAAGTGGCCAGGCAGCTGAATCGTGAAGGAAGGTCCTTCGGGTGCGTCCCCAGCGGGCGCTACGATCGGCCAAGGCCCCATCCATTTCGGGAGGAGCTTGCGAGAGATGTCTTGTTCAAGGCTGAATTCCGCTGCGGAAACCCAAACAAGGTCGCCTGCGCAGAATGGGCAAGGAAGACACTGGCGATTGGCATGTTGGCTCATGCGCTGCTACATCTTAGCCATCTAATCGCGTGCCTTGACAAGAAGCTCTTGCATCCGACATAAGAAAAAAAGATGGTCGTCGCTCTCGGTCGTTCGTGGGGTAATAGTGTCCAACGGTGAAGTGACCGGCGAGCCGTGCTCAAACTCAAAGGGCGACATCCCGATAGTCGGGTGGATAGATGAGTTGTCGGCCAACTCGACATCCGGCAGCTGCTCAACCCAGTCCTTCTGGTCGGGGCGGATGAGAGTGCGAAGGAGAACGTGTGCGGTCTGATGCGCCCTCTCCGTCTGGCCATCGGTCTGAGGGTGGCAAGCTGAACTGGGCTTGAGAGATGAGCCCCATCGCTTGATCAGTGCCAACCAAAAATCGGACATGAACCGAGTGTCGCGGTCGCAGACGATTTCCTTGGGGTTACCCTTGGTTCGAATCCAACCGGCGTAGAGAACCTCGGCCAACTCCGGTGCCTTGGCATAATAGCGACAAGGCAAGAACATGGCGAACTTGGTGAGTCGGTCGACCACCGTGAGAATCCCATCCACACCGGTCTTGTGCTTGGGGAACGGGCCGGTAATATCTATGGCAATCGCTTCCCTTCGCCTCAATGGGACTGATAGTGGTCGTAACTCGCCGTACGGACGATGATTGCGGGATTTGCAGCGTCGGCAACCCTCGCATGACTCGCAATAACGTGTGACGTCGCCGAGAAGGCCGGACACCAAAATCGCTCGCGGAGTCGACCAATCGTGCGATTGACTCCAAAATGTCCGGTGGCGGGAGCGTCGTGGAACCCGCCAAGAAGCCCTGTACGCAAGTGAGGATCACTCGGTACGCAAAGGAGGTCCTTCCCCCGCGTGTGGACAAGCAAGTACCCCTCTTGGATCCGGTAGTGAGAAGGCGTCGGATTAGGAGAGCAATTCGTGTACTTGTCGCGAAACTCGAGGTCGGCTTGGTAGCCGCGGATGAAGTTGTTCCGCAAGTCATCGTCGATCTCAAAGGTTGAGTAGACCGCGGTACAATGATCCGGATGCCGTGAAAGAGCATCCGCAAAACGGTTCGACTTCCCGGGAATGTGATCGGGAAAGAAGTCGAATTGGTCGATGAAAGGCATCCATCGAGCGATGGTGCTGTTGACGGTGTCTTGGGTCTTGTAAAAGACCAACGGATTGTTGTCCGTTACCCAGCGAAATTGGCTTCGACCAAAGAGGAAGTGCCGCCACCGCTTGAGCGGGTGGACGAAGGCGAGGAGCTCCTTCTTGCGTGCATCGTCAATGGAATGCACGATGGGCACTTTCTTGCTGAAATACTCGACCGGGTGCCAGTCCACACCATCATGTTGCTCGAGGACTGCACCAATGCCATAGCCTGACGCATCCGTAGTGACGCACGTAGGCAAGAGCGGGTCATATATCCGCAAGACCTCCGCAGACAATAACGCGACTTTGAGAGCGAAGAATGATCCCCGCGCCTTCTCTCCGAAGTCAAACGGCCAATCCTCGCATTGAAGTTTGTTCAAGTGGGCCGCGATCTTCGAGTAGCCTTTGATGAAGCGCTAATAGTAGCCGGCAAGACCGAGGAACGAGCGGACATCCGTGACGTTCCGAGGCTCCGGGCACTCTTGGATGGCCTGAATCTTGTCCGATAGCAGACTGATGCCCTCCGAGGTGACATAATGGCCTAAGTATTCCAGCTCTTGCCGGACAAATTCACACTTGTCGCGGTTGGCTTTGTACTTGGCGCGGCGGAGCGTCTCCAACACTCGTCGAAGATGCCCAAGATGATCCTCTAATGACCGGCTATAGACGAGAATATTGTCTAAGTAGACCAGCAGGAACTGGTCCAACATTGCACGGAACTCATTAGTCATTGCCGCTTGAAAGGTCGCCGGGGCGTTGGTGAGGCCAAAAGGCATGACCACCCACTCAAAATGCCCGTACCGTATCTTGAACGGGGTCTTGTAGCGATCGTTCGGCCGGATCGAGATTTGATGATATCCCGATTTCAAATCCAACTTAGAAAAATACTTTGCGCTACCCTGTCGCTCAAGAAGATCGTCGATGCGAGGGAGAGGCCCCACGTTCTTGACGGTTTGCGCGTTGAGCTTACGGTAGTCGACACACAATCGTAGATCCTTGTTCTTCTTCTTGACGAAGAGAACTGGTGCTCCATATGGGGAGCTGCTAAGGCGGATCCAACCCTTGGCCAGCAATTCATCGAGTTGTGCACGGAGCACCTCAAGTTCCTCCTCGCTCATCCGATAGATGCAACCTTTCGGCGGCACGGCACCGGCCTCAAGAATGATCTCGTGAGAGATCGACTGATCCGGCACCACACCGGTAGGTGACTCGAAGATGTCGGCGAACTTGTCCAGCAACCGCACCACACGGGGGTCCGAAGACAAGTCCGTGGGTGAAGTGTCGGCTACTGCGACGGTCCGTAGGAAACATAGGCCGATCTCCTTGGGCTGCTCGTAAGCGCAAGTCGCCCGAAATGATTTGGCCGTCACCACTTGGCACCGGATCGAAGGGTGCGGTAGAGGAATAGTACACGCCACTTCCACGCCGAAGGCGTCGCGAACGCTAAGAGTCCGTCGGTGGAAGTTGATCGTGTGATCCGCATTTGCAAGCCAAGGCATTCCTTGAATGATGTCAAAGTCTGTGTCGAGAATATCGAATGTCACCGATTCGCATGCATGAGGTGCGAAGTAGACCGGTACAGCCTCGATGTAATGGTCGAGAAGTTGTTGCGTCTTTCCATCCGCGAACTTGATCGCCGTCAGGTTTGCCTTCCTCCGAACTTGTGCGCCAAAGCCAACCTTTTGCATAAAGGACTGGCTCATGAAATTGCGAGACGCGCCGCTATCCAGCAAAGCGCTGCAGGACGCTTGCCCAACCTGAATGCGGACATACATGAGCGGTGCGTTGTTGTCATCGTACCACTGCATGCGAAACTCGCGGGCCACCTTGGTAGTATACGCCAGGATGTCCCCCACCGCAACTTCGTCATCCGTCGGCGAAGTTGGTGGTGCATAGAAGGATAAGTAAGTGTGGAGATGAGCGCTAAGTGTTGCGCATTGCGGTCTCGGCAAGCGGCCTGTGGTCGGGAGAGGAAGCCATGCAAAGTCCTCGGACGTGAGCGGGTCCAATGCCTCTATATTGAACTCGCGTGCCGAATCCCGTGAAGAACCACTTGAAGACGATATGTCGCCATTGCTGGACGGAGAAGAAACCGCACACACTTCTTGTCCTTGAGCTTGAGTACCCAGCGTAGGAACGAGCCGGGCAGCATAGTCCTCAAAAGAAAGTAGAAGAGGAGGACTATCGATTTCCGGGTGCGCCTCGGAATGAAGGACGGTTACTCGCGAAGAAACCGGTTCCGAAGGCGTCGAGAGTGTTGTCGAGTCACTCTCGGCGGTGCTCAGTTTTCCTGTTTGCCCTTGCCTTTCAACGGGCAGACCAGCGTCTGATGAAGATCGTTGTTGCACCAAAGGCAATAGTGAAATCTCTCGTGTGCTTTGAATGCTTGCTCGGAGATGTCATATTGGGACCATGGGCCTGCCTGAGCTGCTGCACCGGGCCCGGGGCTAGATGCGGTGTGTTTCTTCGTCTTTTTGCGTCCTCGGCCTCTGCCAGGGTGGCCACCTTCCCGGGCGGCTGCGAGTATGTCCCCTTCACTGGCAGACACAACCTTGCTAGTTTGGTCAAACGGCGTTGCCGCTGCGACCACGGCCACTCTTGGCCGATGCTGGTCCCTGTTCGGGCCTGACGCAGATGAACGGAGGTTTTTGGCCTCCTTGTTCGTGATGATGATCTGCGCAGCCTTGTCGAACAACTCTGCCGTCGTCCTCAAGATGTCCTCAACATGCGTCAGGGCATTGCTTAATGCCGGACATGACCTTGAGATGAAGTAATGGCGGATGGCTTTGAAGCCCATCTGGATGTCTGCGACTGACGTCAAGCATTGGTACTCGGCGATCCAGTCCGTACTTGGCAGCGTGCCTTGCTCGAAGACCATGAGCTTGTCCATGGCTTTGATCTCTGGCGGCTCCACCTGGAACCGCTTGTGCCACACCGCCTTCAGATCATCCCAACTGATCTTGGTGTGCAAATCGGCTGCTACTACTCCGTACTTGGACAAGAGGTTGTCCAACCAAGTGTGGCACGCGCCCCTTGAACGAGAGTACAAGTATGCGTGGTGCTTGTGTTCTTTGACGTTGGACAGCTGCAGCGTGAGCTCGAACTTGCGGAACCATGGAATCGGATCTGTCTTCATTGAATCGCAGAAGATCTCCTGCCCGTCGAACTTTGGAGTTGTCTCGCACGGTTCTGAACTCGAGGTGGTGGCAGTAGTGCAGATCCGCTGTTGCAACTGTTGCGTCGCAGTCTGCTGTAGTTGCACGCCATCCTTGAGTGAGCCGACGTCCATYTCCAATGCGTTGAGGCGGTCGACAGTATTGAAAGGGCTTGCGTCGACGGCGGTGACTGGTCGCTGCTCTAACCGCTGAAGGCGGTCTTGGACGTGAGCTAGCGAGGTGTCGAGACCGAGGATCTCCGACTGCTGAGTAATGCAGGTTGCCAGGAGGTCTGTGAGGTGCGAGAGGAGCGCGATCTTGTTTGCGCTATCCTCCAACTTGTCATCCTCCGCTTCGGTCCGCCATTCCGCTGCCATTGTAAGTAAGGCCCGCTCTCCGGTAAATATCTTCTCACGACGCTGGTTCCTTTCTTCATCGGCAGCCCTTGCTGCTGCGTCGTCATGCTGGCGCTGTTGTTCAAGTGCCACCAGACGTGCCTGCTCGACATCCTCTGCCTTCTTCTTCGCTGTTGCGGCAACGTCATCTGCCCGTTTCTTTGTCTCGGTACTCCAGGCCAGCATGAGGGCCTGATAGGCCTCGTCGGCTTCTCCGGGCCGCTAGTCCATGACTGTTGTATGAGACCTCAATAGCATAGACCAGGACGGGGCCTGCTGATGTGGTATCCCTTGCTGCTGACTTGGTACTGCTGACGTGTCCTGCTGACGTGGCCTGCTGGACGTGGCAACTCACCAATGTCGCCGCAGGGGGTACTCGGACACAAACAGAAACGTATAGGCGAGAGATAGCGACAACATAGGTGGGGAGGGGTGGGTGGGATAATCGCCCAACTAATCTCTCTGATACGGAACCACTAATCAAACAAGAAAAGTTTTGCGAAAAAAAATTCGAAAAAAATAAAAATCCTCATTTTTGCAAGTTCGGTAGATCTCCTAACCTCCCTTCCGAAATGATCACTGAAAGAGAAAAAAAATCGACTTTAGATTGCCAATGATTTATTTAACTGAATGATAGAATCCCAGAACTGCAAAGAAAAAAAAAAAAAAAATCAAACAGAAATGACAAGTATTCGGATTTATTCCCATGAGAATATTCGCAGTTTGAAGAATAATACCGCAGGAGGGATTTCCCGTACCGTTTTCAGAAAAACGAATTTTCGAAAAGAATATATTCCGAATTTCTAAGTAACGGGAAATGCAACAGGACATCGAAATTTTTGAAAGAAAAATATTCCGGATTTTCAATAGCGAAATTTCAAATTTTCAGAAGAAAAACGAAAATGAAAATTTCATATGTTGCGATATTGCGATTTTCTACAACAGAACAGCGAGAAAATAAAATCCAAGAAAAAAAAAAATTTCGATTTTCGGTAACGAGGTCAAAATCGTGATTTTGGGGTCTAACTATTGTGTTCTAATCAATCAATAAAGACTAACCAGCTAATTAGTCCCCGCACACGTGTCAGATCAGGTTGTCCTGATTCACGTGCAAAACTCCGATACCAACTGTTACATGCACAGATATGCAATGTACGTAATAACCAAGGATCTGCAATGTGATGAAAAGGACTTAATGGACAATGCAGTGTGAGTAGAATCTCAACAAACATTGTGCATTCTCATACATACAAAATGGTGCTCAATAGCGCAGGGAAGACTTAGATACAAAGACTGACCTGACCGGGGCTGACCTCATTCACGTAGTACAAAGTAGCGAAGCAGAATGCTAGAATCCTAATAACTAGCCCAA